AGTTTGGGGTGCCCTCCCCAGAGCTAGCACTGCCAACAGAGCCAGGTGATGACAATCTTATAAGCCTGTCTATATTCCCTATATCTGCCTTACTTTTTCAATATTCAGATGCTCAGGAAAACCCTAGCAAACAAGGAAGCTGTCCTTCAGCTGAAGAAAAATAAAGTTGGGACTTTTTCCTTTTGCACAAGTGCTCTAGGCACCCTGGAAATCATAACATGGCAAAGGCAGGAAAGAGTCTCAAGTTGCCCAACTTATGCATGGTAAAATTACAAGAAAAATTACTCCAGGACAAAGGCATGACGACCCTGGCCTGCTTATCCTGGCTGCAGAACAAATGTTGTTGTCATCCAGTGTTTAACTTATGAGGCAATAATGATTACTTGTAATTTTGAGCCTGCAAGAGCTAAAATAATATCCTGTATTTCAGACTTGAGAGCAAAACTGTCTCTGAAGGGTTCTTCTGTACATGACAATATAATCAAAAGTCTGTACATTATAAAAATTCAACTATTTATTAATATTCCAGCCTGATTTGTAGAATGTATGTAGTGCAAAACCCTCAGTAGCCTGGGGTTGGTCTCTGCTGACTGGAAGCTAGCCAATGTTATTCCAATCTACAAGAAGGATGTGAGGGAAGGCCCAGGGAACTACAGACCTGTTAGTCTTAGTTCAGTTCCTGGAAAAGTTGCAGAGAAGATCACACTGGGTACTGTCAAAAGGCATTTAAAGAACAATGCGATCCCCAGGCACAGTCAACACAGGCTCACAAAGGGAAAATCCTGTGTAACTAATTTCATATCCTTCTATTATAAGGTCATCCACCTGGTGGATGGAGGGAAGGTGTGGAGTTTTCCTGGATTTAAGTCAGGGATTTCATACTGTCCCTTACAGCATCCTTCCACACAAGTTGTCCAGCTGCGGGATGAATGGATTCATGGTGTGCTGGCGAAGGACAAAGTCCAAAGGGTTGTACAAAGGGGCTGCATTTGGATGGTCAGTGGTCACCAGTGGTGTTCCTCACCCCTCATTCCTGGGGGCCAGATCTGTTCAATATCAGCAATCTGGATGCAGGACTTGAACACACCATTAGTTGATGACTCCAGCCCGGGAGGTGCTGTTGACACACTTGGGGGACAAAAGATTTTGCAGAGTGATCTCAATACATTGGAGCATTGGGCAATTAATGGGATTAAATTTAATCCCATTAATGGGATTAAATTTAATAAATCCATATGCTGGTTTCTGTACCTAGGACAGAGTAATGCTGGGAATAAGTATAAATTGGGAGAGGAGTGGCTGGAGAGCAGCCCTGCAGAAAGGGATCTGGGGGTGCTGGTCAGCAGTAGGATCAGTGTGAGTCAGCCAAGTGCCCTGGCATCCAGGAGGGCAAATCCCTTCCTGGAGTGCATAAAACAGAGCATCACCAGCCTGCCCAGAGAGGGGATTATCCCTTTCTTTTTAACACTGGTGTGGTCTCACCCAGAGTGCTGTGTGCAGTGCTAGGTCCACAATTTAAGATGGATGTTGAGGTCTTTGAATGCATCGATAGGAGGACAACAGCTGGTGAGAGGGCTGGAAATCACGTCCTGTGAGGAGTGGCTGAGTGTTCTGGGCTTGTCTTGTTTGGAGAAAAGGAGGCTGAGGGGTGATCTCCTTGCTCTTTGCAGCTTCCTGAGGAGGGGAAGTTGAAGATGATCTCTTCTCTCTGAATCCAGCAATAGGATGTGTGGGAATGGTTCAAAGCTGCGCCAGGGAAGGTTCAGACTGGACGTTAGGAAAAGCATTTCATAACTGAGAGCATGGTCAAACCCTGGAGAGGCTTTCTAGGGAAGTGGTTGATGCCCCAAATCTGTCAGTGTTTAAGAGGTATTTGGACATACCTTTAGTAACATGCTTTAACTTTGGGTCAGTTCCGAAGTGTCAGACAGCTGGACTAGATGATCAACACAGGTCCCTTCCAAATGAAATAGCCTACTCTAGACGCATAATAATATTTCTCCCCTAAATGCTACTTTTGTGCCCAAAAATCAATGAATTTTGCCACAAAAAATGAACCACAAGGGTTGTTTTTCTTAAAAAAAGACATGAGCACCTTTCTTAAGTCCAAGGGAATAAACCCCATACTCAGTCAAATGACCGAGGACAAAACTGTGTGATTGTATTGACATGATCAACTTATGAACAGAAGAAAACAGAAATCAGTCCCGCAGTGGCCTGAGGAGCTTTCAAAAACTTCCCAAGTCATAACTTGTTCCAAAGCACAGGAACAAAAAAAAAAAAAACCCAAAAAAGCAATATAAAAAAAAAAAAAAAAAAAAAAAAAAAAAAACCACCAAAAAAAACAAAGGCAGAGTCTTTTGCTCTACAACATAAACTATAAATAGCTAAGAAAGCCAAGTAAGAAATCCAATGCCACAACTATGGTGGCAGGAAGACAGAGGTTGAAGAGAGATATAGAAATGTCTTCATATGGATGTTAAAGCTCCTACCACATCAACTGGCCACAGCATCCTGGAAAACTGGAAGATGCATGAGTTAAGCTGATAGTAAAGGGACTTGCAGTTGCACAAGACAAAGAAGCTGAAAAAAATATACAAGGGAGAAACACAGCCTCTCAGATGAGTGTTTTCCAATGTCTTATCCTTACAGATTCCAGCCAGCATGATGTCACAATGGAAGAGTATCTTCTTGCAACTTCCCTTACTCTTCAGCCTGGGGGGAACGCTCAGCTGTGCACTGTGTCCTTTTGGGTTTAGATCACCAAAGTTGAGATCAGAAGTGCAACATATTTCTCTGATTTTAGATGAGAAAGATGGTAACAACTGGACTAGTAGCATCAAACATCCTCAGAAGCAGCAGTGTCAGGAGATGAAAGGAGGAGCCAAAGCAAGTCTGGTTCTCATGTACACTCAGGACACTTTACAACATTCTGGATAAAACAGGGCTTACAAGGGAATGAGCGTATAAATTAGCTCTGCTTGACGGGGCCTTATTGGCAGAGAGAGAGTGGATTTGAGGTTGAAATAATTTCATTTGTCCTAAGCCACCTGCATGGGCTCACCCTGAAGTCTCTGGCACCAGACAGGTGGCTCTGGAGAGGCATGGATCCACACAGTACATGGCAGCCAAGCCTGGCTCTCCTGAAAGCCCAAGGTCTGGGACAGCACAAATGGCTGTTGGACATCACAGTCAGAGGCCACGGCAGCTTCAGCAGCACTGCCCACCCTCAGCAGGGTCACTCACCAGCCTGCCACTTCTGCTGGCCCTCTGGGGAGCGCTGCATGTGCTCTTCAGGAAGACCAACTTCTTCTCCTTCCCAGACTCAGGAGCTCACACTCAGGCCTAAAGGTGTCCTGGCTGTGTTCCTGTCCTTCAACACTTGCTCCAGCCTTCTGGTTATTGCATGACAGCGCACCAAAAAGTTCTGACAGGCCCTGGCCAAACTTTGCCCAAATGCTACTCCCTGGATTCACAAGCAAAGCACTGCTATCAACAAAACAATAGGTGAGCTTCCCATGTCAAGAAACACGATGACCTGAGTTTGGACTGGAGTCTCCTACATCAGACTTGATTAGATCCTAGTTGATAGCTTGGATTGATCTACTTTACCACTACCAACATAATTCCAGCCTACAAGAGCCCAAAGCACTATGATGGGGGGCAATATTCAAAAAATCTTTCTTTCCTTTTTCCCTTCTGCTGCCATGTCCTAGGATAACTAGACCATAATATCATGGAGATGGTACCAAGGAGGCAGAGAGCAGGCAGAGAGCCACTGCTTCAGCAAATGCATCTGTGGACCCCCTTTTACCCTGCTGGATACACCCTGTTCCCACTGAGCTCTGACACACATCCAAATGTACGCCCAGCTCTGAGGTTTTTCTCCTTTCTCTTTCTTTTTTTTTTTTTTTTTTTTTTAATATATGTCTGTAAGGTGATTACATCCGGGTTTGTGTCCACACGGCAAAACCAAAGAGCATTCATCAGAAGAATAATGATGCAAATATGGCTTCTTATCCTCCAGTGATTGCCCATCTGGCAAAAAGGTTTAGAAAATGTAACAATAGTTTTGACATAAATAGGAGGAAAGTAAAGACCGGCAGTGTACTTTCCACATCAATGGCAAATATACTACTGATGTGGAAAGTAAACAACTTCAAACGAGGAGAAACCACTGTGGATAATGCTCCACCTGTGAGCTGCAGGCTTGAATGCCACTGCACGAAAACTGAGGTAGAAAATCCCAAGTTCATCACCTCACATTGCAAAAACAGGTACGAAACGCTGTACTACTTGTGGCTGGATAATATCACGGGCCAGTTGAAATTCAGAGGATTAAAAAACCCTGTTATGCATTTCAAAAGCTTATGCCCCTGTAGGAATATGGAGCGCTCACGGTCGGCACACCTGTATTCTACAAATATTCCTCGAAGCCACCCTCCCGGCGAGGATATTTGTGGGGAGGATGGCGCGGGGTCATGCGGAAAGAGACGCAAACCTGCAGCTGGGAAGGAGATGCTAAGGACGCACCTGTCCCGCTGCTGCCGTCCCCTGCCGACCCCTGCAGGAGCACCTGCGGAGGAAGGGGAATCTAACCCCAAATTACAGGGCTGATTTGCGCCGCTGTTTGCTTTCGGGTGTGGTTCATTTCGCCCCCCCGGGGAGCAGCACCCCGCCGGGCCGTGCTGGGGTCCGTTCTGCGGCCCCCGGGGCGATGCCGGGGCCGGGCGGGGCGGGGCCGCTCCCGGGGCGATGCCGGCAGCTGCCGGTGCTGATTGGGCTGCGCGGCCGCGGCCGCCGCCCCCGCCCCGCCGCGCTCGGCTCGGCTCCGCTCGGCTCGGCTCGGCTCGGCTCCGCTCGGCTCGGCTTGGCTCGGCTCGGCTCCGCTCCGCTCCGCCCGCTGCCGCCGGGATCCGCCGCCCCGGGCTCCGCCGGGATCCGCCGCCCCGGGCTCCGCCGGGATCCGCCGCGGCTCCGCGCCGCCCGCCGCCTGCTGCCGGGCCCATGGCGAGCACGTCGGCGGAGATCATCGCGTTCCTGCTGACCATCTCGGGATGGGTGCTGGTGTCCTCCACGCTGCCCACCGACTACTGGAAGGTGTCCACCATCGATGGCACGGTCATCACCACCGCCACCTTTTGGGCCAACCTCTGGAAGACCTGCGTGACCGACTCCACCGGCGTCTCCAACTGCAAGGACTTCCCATCCATGCTGGCGCTGGACGGTCAGGCTCCCGCTGGCCCCCACCCCGACACTCCCCGGTGTCCCCTGTGCCGCTCCCGGGCGCGCTCGGCGGGGCGGGCGGGAGCGGGGTCGGGGTGCGCCGAGCGGGGCCGGGGGGCGGCGGGACCCGGACGAAGGCGGCTCACCGGCGGGTTCATGGGCAGGTGCCCCCGTGTCCCCAGGCAGGTGGCAGCGTGCTGCTTGTGCGCACCTGTGGAAGTGGGGGTTTTCCTCCCAAAAACCCACTAGTTGAGATTATATTTGGTGCCCAAGGGTCCGGTTTGGGCTCTCGTGCTGTCACTACCTGCCTTTTTTTCCCCATCAAAAGAGTGTGTGTGTGTGTGGATTTGACACAAGAAGAACGCAGGCAGATTTTTCTTGCCAATTTATTTTCCGACTGTCGTGACATTCCTCTTTTTTATGGTTTTGCCAGCCATGCAACGGTCGGTGGAGAAGAACAAGCCTTGGCGTCATTTTGTTTTAATTAATGTTCCTTTGCTGGTTTTACTAAGTGGTTATTAACTCAGATGTAATTGCTTCATTGATAAATGACAGTGTGAAAGCTCGGGGCAGTCAGGGATGCAAAGGTATGCAGAAGGGATGCATAGCTTTGCTCAGCTTTAGGGCAGTGTTATTTTGGAGCAAAGCTAAGAGTTTTGCTATAGGGCTTGAGACCAAAGATTGAGTTGGTGCTGCATTTCTTCCCTCATTAAGGGGCAACATTTTTGCCCTTTCAGGAAGACGTACTGGGAAACTGGTTCACTGCAGGAAATCTTTACAACTAAACTTTTAGTTGATAAATCCACACCAATCATGGCCGGTAGAAACAGGAGAAGTGTGTATGACATCAGTTTATAGCTTCAGAAGTGGCTGTAAAGGAAGGGAGGAAAGGCTTCTAAAATTATGGCACCTTTTCTAAGTTTTTACAGTTATAAATGAGTGCAATATGCAGTGTGCCAGTGGCTTTGATACTCACAAAAGATCATGCCTACTGTTCACAGTCTGGCAAGACATTCCCTTTGCACTGGAGTCTGAGCAGGTATTTTGGTGTAAAAGCTCTGTTTAAGAGGAAAGGAAGGTCTGTTAATCTAATCACTAACAGAGATTAATACTAACGGGGATTAATATGGACATGACGTTAATGCCAATATCAGAAAACCTTTAACCTCTGTATGTAGAAAAGGCTGAAAGACGCCAAGATGCCAGAATGAGGTAACACAGGCAACCCTTTAGCACCATTACTGTGGGATGCTTCCCTCGGGGGGAAGAAGTGCTGTTCCCAGACTTTATTTTGACCCAGCCCTGTGGCAGCAGAGGAATTTGCCAGTTCCTCTAAAGGGATAGGAGAGCTGGCTGGCCTCCATTGACATCAGTCACTCTGTGGCCAAGTGCAGCAGCTGAGAGTGTAATTTCCAGGACTGGGCAAGGAGCAGGGGTCTCTGTGCAGGCAGGCATGGAGTGATCATTGGTGCGAAACCTTTTGGATCCCTTGAACCTATTGTTTAGCTGTTCTTTTAGGTCTGGGTGAATCTGTTTTTAAAGTAAGAAAAGCGCAATTACAAAGTATGAAGAATTTGGAACATTTAAATTTTCAAAAAGAAGACAACACTTGACAGCAAAATCCTTTCCTTCCTTTCCCCCAAATGCTTGTGCATTGAAACCATGTGTGTTGGGTAGCGCATTCCACTTGGCCAAAGAATGAGTTTCTGAGGTGCCTTGTGCCCAGTGAAAGAGCCACTCGTTTTGGACAGAAGTGAATCTGCAATGCACGTCTGGAAGGGCCCTGTCCCAACCCTTCTGGCCAGGTTGTTTTTCAGTAGTGGAAAGTTCTTGGCTTCAGTGTTTCTCAACAGCATCTTTAAGTGCTGTGGGGCCAGATTCTGGTACCCAGGCACAGCGTGAATGAAAGGCAGGCTGGAGGGAGAGTGATGTACCCCCTTCCTGACCCAGCACAGACCTGGCAAGCTGGGCGGGGTCAGAGGGGCAGCCACTGCAGTCGGGGGTGCTTTCAGTGGGTAGCCTAGCCCAGACTCCCTTCCTTGTGGTCACAGGCTCTGCAGGGAACCTGTCAGCAGCTGACTGTGGTGTGTATGTCCCCTCTTCACCCTAACCCTTCCCCCGTGGGGGCGTGCACTTCAGGGCTGTGGTGTGTCACTCGTGGCTTAAAGAATTTGTGTCTCAACAAGTAGACAAGTCTGCCTCAGCCCTTGTCTAGCCTCTTCCTTCCCTCCTCTTCCCCTTTGCCCAGACTTACATGTCCAAGGTGGATCCCGTTCCCTGTGACTGGGAATGTGGGAACTTCCTGACTCCATCCTCAGGTGGGGGACTCAGAATACACAAACAGGGCAGATCTGGTTTCTGTTCTCAGGGAAGTGTTTGTGAGCAGAAACAATAACCCTGTAAGGATACATGTAGTGACAATATGTTACTGTCATCAAAATGGCAGAGCACGACTGAAAAATTCCTAAAAATATTTCTGCTGTCCTAGGGAAATGTGGGTCGGCTCCACTCCTTCGTCACACAGATAGAGAGGATCTGCCTCTCGGAGCAGTTCCTCTTGCACTGAAATTTTTTTTTTTGGTCAAATTGGAAACCTCTGAGTAGGCTGGACTTCTTGTCCCAAGAGACTGCTCAGGTCTTCCAGGGGATCAGAGGCAAAGTGAGGGGGAAAGAAATCAGTGTGACCATGCTTTGAGAAACCTGGTCTATGTGAGGTGTCCCTGCCCATGGCACGGGGTAAGAACCAGACGACCTCTGAAGTCCCTCCCTACCCAAACCTCCATGACTCTGTGATTCTACGCCAGTTGCTGGAGCTCTCCTGTGGAGTGCAGGAGAAGTCCTTCCTTCTAGTAGTCCCACAAGGTTGACTGGAGCATTAGGAAGCATGAAAGGTTGAAATCAACCTTTTCACCAGTGTGGCAGTGTCATAGTTCAGGGTCAGGGGTGTTCAGGAGATGGTTCCTCTTTACTCTTGTTTTGGTTTCTGTCATGGAGTGGGCCTGGACTGTCCTGCCCAGCTTGCTGTGGGATGGCACAGCAGTGGGGCTGCCCTGATGGCTTTCAGGCCATCACTCCACACAAATGGCTTCCAGAGAAAATTGCTTGTGGTCACCTTCCACCTTTATGCATTCCTGTAGAAGAAACCAATTTGGCCAGCCCTCATTAAGTGCTGAGCCCCACATTCCTTATGCAAGCAAAAATGCTCTTCCTGTCTGTGGGGCTTAAAGGCATTTTGGGTTTATTTTTTGTGCCACTGGTCATAGGTGGAAATTTACTGATGAAACCACCTCCCCAAAAGAGGACGTATCAGTTTCCATGTTTCCTACAGTGGATCTGATGACCTTTTGCAAGAACAGAGCTGAACAAAAATTCAATTATGAGCTAAAAGAGGGTATTAGAGCTTAGAAAGACATACAAAAGCAATGGGTGTGTACTTTTGGAAGGAATCTGTGCTGAATCTGTAAGGCAACCTCTTACACTTCACGTGATGTAGACTGCAAAATGCCACCAGAGGCATTTATTGTGAAAGTGGCAATCCCCAGAACTTTGCATATATATTTTTTTCCAGTGTCATATGATATGAGTACATGAATGCCTTCTAAGTCTTTGTAAGCATGAGGCAAGTGTGAGAGCAGTGAGGCAAGAAAGATGAAGCTCTAACAAGATTAATTTCAATGCAAGACAAAACACATTTGTTTGAAACAAAAAAAAAACAAAAAAACAAAAAAAAAAAAAAAAAAAAACCCCCCAAAAAAAAAAAAACACCTTGAAATAGGTTTCTCTTGGAATGCTGCTAAACATGACTTTATGAGCAATGCATGTTTGTCTGCTTGTCTGTTTAAGACATGGCTTTTTGCTGCTTGGGAACTTCATTTGCCTGGTTGGTAAGTACATGACAATTTTCCAGCAGGAGCTGGTGCAAATACAGAACATAAACATTTGGGAAAGGACAGGTTTTAGTCTTGAGTGGAGGACTGTGAAAAAATAGACAGTTCCCTTTTACACTCCTCTTAATTACCCTAGAATCACAGAATGTTTTGGGTTACAATGAAGGGACATTAAAGACCATCTAGTTCCAACCTGCCTACAATGGGTAGGGACACTTCCTACTCAAAGGTTGCTCAAAGTTGCATCCAAACTTCAACACTTCCAGGGAAGGGGCATCCACAGCTTTTCTGGGTTCCCTGTTGCAGTGTCTCACCACCCTCACAGTAAAGAATTTCTTCCCAATATCTAATATCTTCCAAATATCTAACCTAAATCTGCCCTTTTTCAGTTTAAAGGCATTTTCCCTTGTCCTCCTGTAAAAAGTCCTTCTCCAGCTTTCCTGTAGGCCCACTTTAGGTTCTGGAAGGCTGCTGTAAGGTCTGCCGAGATCCTTTTCTTCTTCAAGATGAGCAAGCCTTATAAGTCTTGGTGCCCAATGTAATCTTGCTTTTTTAAAAGCAAAAAAGAGGTTTAGCTCCTCTTGGAGCCAAATGTTATACAGAGTTTGAATCTAGGATCTAAGCAATAGGAGGTTTGATTTGGTGAAAAGGTTGATTTCAACCTTTCATGCTTCCTAATGCTCCACTCAACCTCGTGGGACTACTAGAGCCTTCTGCTTTTCCACAGTACTGGTGTAAATTGGGATTTTTTTTTCCTGTATTTTGTTTTAAAAATGTGTGCCAGTTGGCTGACTGCTCTGGTGAACTGAAACAAGCCCTACTATAGCTGGCCTGCCCAATTCGGTGAATTATTTAGTGAGAAAGGTTATTCATTCAGCAGAACTGAGCAGTCCTCCAGTTCATGCTGTTTATAATTGAAAATGATTTCTGAGTGAGTGAGTTAATTATTTCTTGCTGTCTCACTACCCTCTACCTATTTTAAAACTGTCTATTGACCTTCAGGAAAAACTGAATTTCAGCCCTGTGGTTACTAGCAAGTGTTGGATATTTTAGTTGGGGTGAATATTTACTGGTTTTCCTAGGAGGTTCAGACATAAATAAAAGTTTAGAGGACCTCCGGGTAAACATGTTCATGGTTCAGCACTTTAATGTGTCAATTAGCTAACTAACACTGTCAATAAATTGGACCTGTCAGAAATAATAGCTTCCTTTCCAGTCTTCATCTCGTGCTTTACCTGTCTGCCACAAGAAATACATTACACACCACCTAAAGCAGCATAAGCCAAGTTTTCCATGCCTATAGCAAAAATTAACAAAGCAAGGCTGCTATCTTCAAACCTGTGTCTTGCACAAATCACTCTCTTGCATTCCAACACGTGGGCCGTATGACAGTCACACTAATGTCACTGACTGTGTCTTTCTTGAGCGGGTGGGCTACAGAAAGAAGTAGCCAGTCTGTGTGCCAGCAGAGGTAGATAAATGCCAGTAGGTTGTGTTCACAGATGGGCAGCACAGCTCCCAGGTTCAGCAGACCTGCTAAAATGGGGTGTTATGTGCTACAAATTGCTTTGTTGCTCAGAGCTGTGAATCAACGGGGGATTTAAAACACTGTTCAAGCACGGGGTGGTCATCCTAGAGCTGATATACCTTCAGCAGTGGCTAAAGGAGGTGGCAGTAAGGATAGCAGAAGGTGGCCAAGTGTCTGTGGTAGCCATCTGCATCTCTAAGCCCTGCCAGCCAGACACAGACTTCTTCATCAGGAGCGTATCCAGTCTCTTTTTGAGTCTCAGTAAACCCTTAGTGTCCACACGTCCTGTAGAACGGAATTCCACAGCTTCATTTTACAAGCAAGCATACCTTTTGTTTTGAATCTGCTGCCTTCTGTTTTCATCAGATATCCTCTAGTTCCTGCTTTAGTATATTGTTTTCTTACACATTTAAAACTTTAATGCAGGATTTGGTGGGGTTTTTTTGTTTATTTATTTTTACATAAAATTTGGTGTAATAGGCAATGACAATGTGGTTTAGCTCTCAGCATTTCCACCCACTGGAGATCAAAGCAAAAAGAATGAATGCCCTAATAGTGGGAGTTCATTTTCATTTTAAATGAGATGTAACAACAGGTTATGAAGAAAAACATCTTGTGATGGTTATTCAGGTGTGTAAGATTGCAGCGTTCCACCCCGTAAGCAGCGATATGAGATTATCACAGTCCTTCAATTACAAGATATTCTCAGAAGGGAGAAGAGGCCAAGCAGCCCATTGTCCCGTTGAAGGGTCCTGCCCTGGCAGGTCCCTCTGGGAGCAGTCTTGGGCAGCACAGCCAAATTGTTTGTGGCTGAAGCCAGGTGCAAGCTGTTTGTCCAGGTTTAAATACGGCAGCAATTTCCTTTATCCCAAGGGACTACTGCTGTCCATGGAGCTGAGTGCATGGCTGACTTCCTTGCAGAATGAGGGCCTTGTGGGCACATCCAAATCCAATCAGTGGCACATCCAGGCAGGCCCAGGAAGGCCCAGGGCCCCAGCCAGGGTCACTGCTGCCAGCCTCACTGCTAGCCATGTCGCACCTGTGACACACGTGCACAAGTGGACGGATGTAAGACTTGCTTTGAGTGCCCAGGGTGGCTCTGCAGCTTGTGACATGATCAGGCCACGTGGAGCTGCTCTTCAAAACCTCATGGGTACAACCTCTTGCAGATGCTATACTCAGTGCCATGGGAAAATGTTTTGGACCCCTGAGTGCCACAGTATTACTCTTATGAGCTGGGCACTCAGTGATAAAGGGATACTGTTCCAGCCAGACTCCGATTCCATTTGCAATAGTGAGTGCCTGATGCTGCACAGAGGGAGGAAAACTACAGCAAAAGTTGTCGTGGTCCCAGTTCTCACATTAGCCTTGCTCTTTCTCTCACAGGTTACATCCAAGCCTGCAGAGGATTGATGATCTCCGCTGTCTGTCTGGGCTTCTTCGGTGCCGTTTTTGGACTGGTTGGGATGAAATGTACAAAAGTCGGAGGCTCTGATCAGACTAAAGCAAAAATAGCTTGTTTAGCTGGACTGATGTTCATACTCTCTGGTAAATATACTTTATTTCTATCAGTTTGCATACTTGAAGTCATACCGGAGCCGCTTCTTTTCCGCAGAAACCTGTGCACAATCCGCCATGACTTCGTTGACTTCAGGGCCAGGCCCAAAGCTCTGCTGCCAGCTCCACTGAATGGTTTGTCTTATGCTTTTCAGGGTTGTGCTCTATGACTAGTTGTTCCCTGTATGCAAACAGGATTACGTCTGAGTTCTTTGACCCTTCTTTTGTTGCACAAAAGTAAGTACTTTCCTATACCCATAAATCTTTCAAACAAGTAGACCTTAGGTTTCCTACTGCACACCAGAGCCTGTTTAGACAGAGAGCAGCTGCTTCTCCCCTTGGGCACAGGAGGAGAGTGGGCTGCAGTTTTAACCACAGTTTCTAACTGGAGCAATCAGGTGCTGCAATTCAATGAACAAACACTTTGCTGCACAGCGATGGCTCTGCAATCCATGTGCCCAGCTCTACCACGGGCTGGCAGGGCAGCTGGGGTTAATTGGGAATGGAGCTTGTCTGGGTGCCAGAGGTGCAGCAAAAGGATTGCACAAGACACAGGGATTCATTAGGTGCATCATTCAATAGGGAAGGGAGAAAAGTATTGCCTTGAGCCTTTGACAGAAGGTGGCTTCGATAAAGGTGTTGAGCACTGAGCAATCTTGATCCCTCTTGAGGAGAGGTTTCTTCAGGCTTGGTGGAATTTTGCTGACAGATTTTCAGAAATTTAGATCATAAACCTTACCAAAACCCACGATCTTCTAAGCACTAGCATAAATACTTAAATTCTCAGGACCTGCAAAAGCAGCGATCCACAAAACAACGCTTGGATTTTGGATTGACATTCTTAACTACCAAGTCTGAAAACGTTGGCTGTGAATGATAGCATCAGAGACTTTCCTGTTTTGCCTTCATACATGATGTAAACTCTTTTTTTAAAGGCAAGGATTTTAAAGTTTTCTTGGCAGTGATTCCAGAATATGCCAAACATTGGGTGTACATTTCCCTGATACCCAAGTAAGGGATCAGTAAGGAACCCTGAGCCTTTATGTTTCACTTCGACAGAAAGAAAATAGTTTGAATAAATAACACTAAAGGGATCTACATTTGCAGTAGGGTTGACGCTGCTTTTCCTATCTTGAAACTATTAGTTTTCTCCATACAATCTTGTATTCGTTTTCTCCATAATTCCCCTGTACTTTCTGCTTATTTGATATAGAGAAGACAGGCTTAAAAGGCCACCAAAAGAAAGAAGGATGTGAGATTCTTTGAAGAAAATGGAGCCTGGCTATATAGACAGAAGTTAATTATTCATCAGGCTTACTGTTCTTAGTGAAAAATGCCATGATTGCTGCCAGAAGTCCTTTTCTTTCACTGTATTCCTACCCTCATCTGCTGCGAAAGACCTCACGATGGAATTTTACTGTGAAGGAATGAGAAATCCAGTTTAAATATTGAAATAATGGTAGTAAAACATCCTCTTCAGAAATTACCTTTTTTTTTTGTGGACCACCAGCATAGAGCTCAGCTGTGGGCAGACATAATCATGATTGCAAAGATAGAGGCAGAGAGGAAATCCTGAAATTTTAATTTCAGTTGTGCACAATGCATGTAGCTCATGCAGTGACCTTGCATCAGACTGAGCTAGTGGTGGCATTCAGCTCCTACCTCTCTCAACTGATGTAAAATTTCCATTTTGTTGCCACCTCCAAACCCTTACTTTGTTATGCATTGCAGGCACATTTAATATGTTTACTGGTATATTGTGGAAATTTGAAATTGTCTCTTCATGAGAGAATTTCAACCTTTTGCCTTTTACTGCACATTTCTCTCCTGAAGTTATTCTGGCAGTGTCAAAGACAGGCTTGAGATACCATTAGTGGGAAAGAAATGACACAAGATATTCAGCACCTTGTGTCAACCATCAGGATTTCCCTCCAGCCTTCTTTACTATTTTTAATTGAAATTATCTGCCTAACTGCCCATATAGGCATTGATATGCAATTGAAAATCTTGAGTTTTCCTCCTAAGTACCAGTATAAATCAGAAAGGTCGTTTTCTCTGTTTGAAGATGTGGAAGAAAGACCTATCAGGACAGCTCTGCAACTCATTAACCTGGCGGTGTGCCAGTCCCCCGAGCAGGGCCATATACACAATCTATTTAATCTTGGTATAGAAACAAGTGTTGCTTCAAACAATCCCAACTACACAGGCTGACCCCATGTCTTCTGTCCCAACTAGTAGGTAACACTCAGGTATCCCTTTTCTACCCAATTCTATCAAATATAGTAATGATTTCTTTTCTGTACAATCAGAGTTTCAGGATGGGAAGATAGCGCTTGATCTCCTTAAATCCCTCAGCCTCTGGTCAACCATTTCTTCTTGTTAGATAAAAACATGGAAACTTGTGTTTCCCACTTTCTAGGCAAATGGTCTTGGCAAATAAGTTTTTACTGCAATGGCCATCCTGGATCTTGGTCCAGCTCTGATCTCCAGCAGTGTGGTGATCTGCGTCGACTTCTGTGGGGAGCCTAATCCTGGTCCTGGTACCTTAGGTGTGCTCTGGCAGTTCTGTAGGGATGGAGGGATCCCCATGAGGGGGCTTGCCTCACATCTGAGCTAGTCCCTCTGGTCTGCTTTTACAGGTCAATGAAAGAGGTGCCTTGAAAGTGTTTTAGAAGTGCACTTTGTGTGGATTTCTTGCATGTTGAATATAATGGGATCTTAGGTGATGAGCTCTGATGTAGATCTCTGCTTCTAATCAGAGAATCCCCTGTCCTCGGAGAGACACAAATCTCCTTGAGTCATGTGAAAACCGTAGCAAGGTGGTTGGAGATGTGAGCATAAGTAGAATTAAAATATTACAGGTTTGGCAGATTTTGAAGTGAAACGGGATTGGGTGGAGAGTTTTCCAGGGTGGAAGGAGCTATGGTTCCCAGCAGTTTAAACTGGGGTCTGTGAGCTCCATGCTGATGTTGAGGAAGGGTTCTGAGGCAGTCAGTTTATTTCAGCTTGAGCTTGGTGTCTGCAGAGAGGGAGCCTGAACAAAGAAATCCCTGGGTCTTTATCCCCTCACAGTCTGTGCACCTGATCCTCATGTGCTCTTCACAGATCTTGCATGTGCCTCCTGGTCCAGTGATGATTTATGGTCTGGAGTCTTCTAACACCTCACTGGATTCTTTCTGAGTGTTTCTCCAGTGCCCTTTTGTAAAGATACAAGTTTTTCAGAACAGCTGACAGGTATTTTCAGTTAGATATTTTGGTAATGTGGAATTAGGGCCTGTGCACGTGGAAATGTTCACAACTAGCTGAGAAGTGCAACTACACAGTGTTGCAGTTGCACAGGCAGGCTGTCAAGCAGGGGCTTTTATTTGGCTGCCTCCCCACAGTTTACAATAAATCAATTTAGTAGCATCTGCTTGAACAGCACATACTCCTGGTTGGTAATTGTGGCTGGATGGGGGACAGGGGCCTGTGTTTCCATGAAGGATCACATAAGCCTGGAGAAGATAAAGGTCTCCTTAAGGGGAAACTGCAACAGAGAAAGAGCAAGAGACATACAAGTGTTTTCTAAAGGCGAGGAATAGGAGACTCTGGAGATGCTGGGCTGCAGCCTAAAGCAGATCGTGCTTTAAGAGTAGTACTCAGGCAGAGAGCTGGGGAATGGAGCAGACAAGGAGGATCCACAGTTTGCTGCTTGTCTTAAAGCATCAGCACTGAGAGGAAAGAAAATAATCTCTTCCCAATGCCCTTCTTTCCCTTCATTTACTACTGTTGCTTGAGAAACGTGGACTTAGTGGGATAATGCTCCTAAAGCACCACTGTCTCCTCTCAGAGGCAAACGGAGCAGTTCCTGGCAGCAAACAGTTTGTGGCTGGCTGAGGCAGCAGAGGGAACCATTGCTGGTGACTGGGAGCTGTGCCCGTGAAGGTGCTGGGGGCAGTTTCCTCCAGATAGAATCTAGTCACAGGCACTAGAGAAGGAGAAAGATGCTGGAACATGCACTTGTGTGTGCAAATGCTTATACCAGACACACCTGTGTATGTATATGTATATGCTGCATACATATACATTGCATGTATACTCCATATGCGTATTATGCATATGTACAAACCCTCATGTTTTAAGCAGACTGCTGTGTGGATGATGAGGGATGGAGGCAGACAGATCCTGAGAGCCAGAGGGGAAACTTAAGGAGAGTTGTAGGCAGAATTTGTAGTCTCTGGCCCAGCAAAACCCCAGTCCAGTTTGGTTTGAGAGCCAACAAGAACAAAACTGAAATGGAGGAGCTGGTGCTGTAAACAGGCCACAGAATGACATAAACCCACAGCAAAGCAATCCAGGAGGAGATGCGCAAAGACCAGGCCTTCCCCTAACCCTAACCCTAACCCTAACCCCGGCTGAGCAGGGAGAGAAGCATTGCCCAAGTGTACTGCAAGGACAGAGTTTGCCTCCCGAGTCAGAGGGAAATAATGGAAAGAACACCAGTGAATGGCAGAGCTCCTGATTTTGTGGTGAATAATTTATGTGTCAATGGAAAGTTATTTAAGAAAAATATAATATTTAGTTATTTTATTCTGGAAATAACCCTGTTAAATCCATGCTCTCTTTTGTTAAATACATTTATTGACTTCTTGTAGGTATGAATTAGGAGCAGCTTTGTTCATTGGATGGGCTGGAGCATCACTCTGCATAATTGGTGGCATTATATTCTGCTTCTCAATAGCTGAAAACAGTAATTCTGCAAGGTAAAACACAAGTTGTACTTACTGAAAGAAATCAATACCTCAGCATTTTTCCCTACTATACATATGCTGTTTGATTACTGTTTCAAAACACTTTGTAATGAGATTCTGAAAAAGATTGTGTGGATAAAAGAAAGTAAGGGGGTGAAAGAAAAATGCTTTGTCCACCATTAATGCAATTAAGAAAAGCTATTGGCTCAGAACAAATACTTGTGATATATATAATAAATTTACCACAGCTGCAAAACAGTGCATTCACTGATGTAGGAAAAATGGTCAGTGGCTTTACAGGCATGAATAGACAAGTTTCTTTGATCTCAAATAATCAGATCAAAAGCAAGAGGTGGTGGCAGTGGGAGCTCCAGCAGCTGAAGAGGGGTGATAACAAAGAGGAACAGCCGTAAAGAGTAGCTATTCACCGAGGGTCTGCCACAATTTAGATTATTTCATGATTAGGCCCTAATTTACTCAGCTGTGAGCGAGGGAATATGTGTTACAGGAAAGTGTAAAGACTGGTGCAAAGAGATAGCTGGAGTGGCAATATTTAACTAGGATGGGACCACACAGAGGAAGAACATGCCACCTGCCCTGAAATTTGTAGGTACATTCCCATACATTTCTCCTGGCTTTATTACTAGAAAGCCTAGATGCAGAGATGTCATCTGTCTGTGGGAAGAGCTGTAAATGGTTGTTTTTTTCTCTTCAGGAGGGGCTATGCCTATAACGGAGCCACATCTGTGATGTCTTCTCGTACAAAGGTGCACAACAGCATCCCTGACAAAACCCCACCCAAGCACTTTGACAAGAACGCTTATGTTTAGTTGCACTGTTGGAAGACTCAAAGCGTTTTTGAACTGATTTTGTACGTTTCATTCGGAGTGATTCCCCCCACCCCAAGCCCAATGTACTTACCACTAAGACAATGACTTTTAAAAATATTAACTTGCAGCTTTTTACATATTGATGTAAATTTTATTATATAATATTTTAAGATTGATGTTGGTATTGTAAAGTTTATACCTGGAAATCATGAGCTGATGTTGCATTCTTGAAAAAAAATAAACAAGGTATTTACTAATTCAGTTTGTCATGTCAGCTGCTTATGGGAATGGCATCACACACACTGTATTGGCATATTGCAGTTCAAAAATTCAGCTAGTGTTTTTTCTTTGTCTGTCCATGGAAATGTGATGACTTTGAGGGAGTATTTGTACAAGTCAATAAATGAGAAGAGATTAAAAATAATCACAAAATGCTTTCTAGAGTAAGTCCCTAAAATCAGACACAAACTCAGTTTTTTTGTGAAGTTTGAACTGATGGACCTGTGGAGTTTCAATAAAAGTTGGTTATTTTGGAACAACCATGTAAATATAAAAAACTAACAGTCCTACTTAATAATGGCACAGTATAGAAAAAGTTTTGTATCTGATATTATCTAAATTACGTTAGAACTACAAAGTCAAGGTTCTTTTTGTTTTATGTTATTTTTGTACTTCATTTAAGTAGAAACACTACTGTATTTTTTTAAAGAAGGCAGCCAATATGGACAAAGCAGAAATGTCAAGTACTTCTGCAATGGCAGGTTAGTGCTTTCCTTACTGTGGCTTGACATTGTAATTTTTTTCCAGTTGTTGTCCTTATATGCTAAGAAAGACTGAACTCCAATACAAAAAATCCCACAACAAACCGACTTCCGCATATAGGAGGCATTTAATAATGATTAGTTTTGGAGCTGAGGCTTTTTTCTTTTCATTTAGTGTTTATTGTAAACCATGGTAGAAACTTAATAGTTTAATACATGAACATATCTTCTTTAAAATGTTGACAATTTTATATAAAGTTCATGATAAAATATAAAAAATATGCATTAAAGATTGTATAAAGTAATACTCTGCAGTATATTCTGTTCATTGGTTAACAGGCTTTCTTGCAAGACCAGTTTCAATCTTTAATGTAAACATTAGAGGCAAAATCTTCACCTCAGAGAAATGAAAGAGACTTTCACCACTGAACTCATGAGAGTGTGCTGGTTTTGGCTGGGATAGAGGTAATTTTCTTCACCGTGGCTGGTATGGGGCTGTGTCTTGGATTTGTGCTGGGCACAGAGTTGATAATAGAGATGTTTTTGGTATTGCTGAGCAGGGCTTGCACAGAGCCTTTTCTGTTTTTCATACCACCACATCGGCGAGGATTGGGGGTGCACGGAGGCTTGGAGGGGACACAGGTGGGACAGGTGACTCAAACTGACCAAAGGGACATTCCAGACCATGTGAGATCATGCACAGTATATACAGTGGGGGAAGAAGAAGGAAGAGGAAGACATTTGGAGTGTCTTTTGTCTTCCCAAGCCACCATTACACGTGATGGGGCCCTGTTCTCCTGGGATGGCTGAACACCTGCTTGCCTGTGGGAGCAGTGAATTAATTCCTTGTTTTGCTTTGCCTGTGTGTGTGGCTTTTGCTTTCCCTGTCGAACTGCCTTGATCTCAACCCACAAATTTTCTCACTTTTACACTTTCAAGTCTCTCCCCAGTTCCACAGGTGAGGGAGTGAATGACTGGCTGCATGGGGCTTGGCTGGGGTTAAACTGCCACAAAAAGAAAGAAGAATTACTTTGTTTCCAAATAGACATGGCCAGTAATGCATATGTAATATGCATATTACACGTGTAATCAATATTCTTTTTCAGAGTCAGACTGAAAGACACAAGAGCTCTGTAAACAGTATTCCTTGTTATTACAGGACCAATGAGAGAAGGTACTGGGAAACACTTGATGTTTTCACCTGCATTTTGAACCCCAGCAGAACCCAAAAGCAGGACCTCCAATCAGGAATGGAACAATTATATGTCTGAAGAATCACTCCAGTCTGTTACAGTGACTAAGCTGCTTTTTAACGTGCTTGTGTTATCAGCTTCATGAAGGCCTTTTAAAACAAACAGACAGAACAATTAATAGTTATTAATACTCTTTCAGGGATATTTTTACTTTGTCTATAAAACAAAATGACATGCTATGTGAGCAAACACCTGTGGACTTCAGGAAGCCCCAAACTGCAACCAGTAAGCAAATGACAAGTGTTGATAATACGTAGATTGTTTCTCTCACAGAAGATAAAGCACAGTACAAGAAGTCAGTGCCAATGTTACTTTCCCTTCAAAAACAACCAGAAGTATCTTTATGTGACTGACACAGCTTTAACCTTTACATACATTGAAATGTTAAGGTTAGAAATGACTATATAAATTATATGTAAGATTGAGGCTTTTGCTTTAGCATTAGTTCAAATATTTATCTCAGCCTGGTAAGTCAGTTAGATACCTTGAACAAACCTGAAATGTTATTACTCTCAAGAAAAAGGGGGTTCCCTTCTCCCTTAAATTCAGAAAGAAAAAAAAAACTCAGATGATTAATTTTTAAGGTGATGTTGAAGTCTGATAATATTATGGTTTAAACTCTCAAATTTAAGTTGGTATCTCTGTGTATTTATGTGTGTGTGTGGTTTATGTACCACTATCATAAAAACGTGATAGCAAGAAACCAAACACAAAGGTTTTCTTGTTCTTCTCTTACAAAACACTATCTATTGAATTACAATGTGTAATACACTGTACTTAATCCTCCTCTAGGTGGGTCAGTCACTTGTGAATACGTTACCTTCCTCCTTTGGTGCACTTTTCTTGGGAAGGCCCCATGCATGTACCACAGATGCAGAATTTGGCTCATTTTTCTGAGCTGTCATTGCCTTCTGACCTCTGTCATTTTTCAGCAAAATGTCTTCTTCTACTGATGAAATATCCCAATCATCTTCATCAGCTTCTGTGAGCTAACAGGGACGAGAAAAAACAGGCATTTTTCCTTTGTCTATTCAAGCTGTGCTGAGTTCTTTCCTAAACTCAACAATGTGAAACTGCTAAAGAAGAATGCACTGGCATGTGGCCTTTATTAAATCTATCATCACAGTTTTAAAATCCACATTAATTCAATTGCCTAAATGATATTAATTCACTGTTATTGTTCCGAAACTAAAAGAGGTTTGTTTGGTTTTTTTTAAAGTCAGGAGCTGCAAACATTTAAAGTTCTTCCAGATCTGTACCTGGCCTAAATTTCTGTTTTCAGGTATTATATGGCAGCCTTAAAAAAGGATTATCTTTTCTGGGATATTCCAAGGAGATGAAAGTCCTTTAAGCATTAGAATGTATATTACTTACATGAAAATAAAGATATGACATGCAAGGTGACAGTTTACAAGCATTCTGTAGTCAAACTAGGCAAAAATATTGCAGTAAAGGCCTTTCCAATTTAAAACTAATTTATTTAAAGAGAAAATTAAATAATGAACATTTAAAAAACCACACGGTGCTCAAATTTTAAATATGCATTCTCCTCAAGACTCAGTGTCAGCATGTACAAACAGATTTTAATTAAGTGGTGGATTTGTATACTAAGTTCACAAAATGAGAGTCAATTCAAACAGATTAACCTGAAGGCAATGAGTCCATGGTCCCTCTTACCTCATCTGCCTGAGAACTAAATATTTTCATTCAGCTTTAGCAAGAAGAGCTACAGAATTCCCCTACTTTTCATTCAAATATGGTCTGATGGATTTGAGCTATTTTTAGAGAGCTTAACTGTGGAAAGCAAACAATGTTTTCTCACAAAGCTAAAACCTTATTTCATTGGAGTCTCCAGTATTACAGTAAGGATCCAGATGGTGCTTCCATTGCACAGAAGGAAGGTTCAGATGCTATTAGAAAGCAATGTAAGGTATGTATACGCTAGAGAAAAATCAACAAATATCAACATGTCGTGTGTCTCAAAAGTGGGTAAGAGACTGCAGTAATGCTTATCTTGCAACATAACTCCATTTTAACATTGCAAACTGTTTTTCAAAAACTGACAGATCTCTTCAGTGTGCTGTATTATTAACATACCAGAATTCATTATTGCGCTGTTTCAAATTATCTGCATTTGGAGGGTGTGGTAATGGGAAAGTCAGTCACATATATTGAGAAATGCTGGAGGAAGAGTTTCCTCGAACATTCAAGAAGTCCCAAATGATTGTTAAAGTAAAAAATAGAGATAAACATGTCAACTTCAGACAGAATTCAGTTTTGATTAAGTGTAACTACACAGCACCAATCAAAACTGCTAAACAGTTTTATTAATTCAAAGACTTACATAAAGATGTCTACATTAAACATATAAATATGGGCATAAATATATGCATATAATTACCAAAGCATACAAGATGGTGTGTTCTTCTGTAAATATGGCAGAAAAAAAGTAGCAGTGCCTGCCCTAGTTTTGTAAGCTTATTCTGAACTCATCCTGTCCATACAGGATACATCAGGGACACAATGTATTCTAGGTTAATCATAGCAACAATATTTTTCGTAAGATGATGGTAAGGCATGGGAGGAAGAGATCTCAAAGATCATGCAGTTGAACTCCCTCTGTGATATCCAGGACACCTTCCACTAGACCAGGTTGCTCAAAGCCCCCTCCAACCTGACCTTGAACACTCCAGGGATGGGGCATCCACAGTTCCTTTGGGTAACCTGTTCCAGTGCCTCACCACTCTCATAGTAAAGAATTTCTTCCTAATATCTAATTGAAACCTACTGTCTTCTCATTATAGTTTAATTTTCTGTCCAGAAGGACAAACAATTACAAAGAATTTGGAAGTAATGCTAGATAGAAAATTGCACTGTAATAATCATGTCTACGTTGATAACTTTGAATCTGGTACAATTTGCAGCTCCCACACAGTCAATGGACAACTTAGGTGCCATCAATGGCAATTACAAGGACACAGGATAAATGTGATTATGCTACCCTCATGGCCAAAGTTGATTAGGACAATCACTCCTTTCTAGAAAATGAAATAGAAGTGTCACTGTTTCTGGGGGGAGTGATGAGTTTCACATTTAACTCACAATCAGGAAGCCCTAGGGTATCAGTTTTATTACGGATAAGAGGATTCTCAGTAATTATTATTTGCTAATTTAGTGAAACAATATTGTATTGAATGATAGAACTAGTAGCTGTCTGTCTACTTCAATCTAGTAACAACCACTCAAAC